GAATTCTCTGCCGTTTTTTTACTGTCTATTTGTTTGCTCAAAGGCAAATAAGGCTTTATGCGGACAGAATAAAAAGAGAAATGCGGCCAACAATTAAAATTTAATATACCTACAAAGGAAAGTGGGATATACATGTTAAATTGGCATATACAATATGCTGGATAGGAAAGGGATATAAAAAGGGGGTGCATCCATACTTGTTTTTATACTAAACTACTTCACACTCTTACCGCTAAGCAATAATGACCGACAATACTCCCTGGATGTACAACAACTACACGGTAAAAATCTACGACCAAGATGGCAGTGAAAAGCTGCTAGCTGGGTTTGCCTTGGCCGACGAGTCCACCAGCGGCACTCTGGCTACCCTCCAATACCACGGACATTTGGCAGACCAAAACACGTCCAACTATATAGTAGAGTTCAAGGAGCCGCTAGGCGTGGTTGTCGTACACGGAAACCACTGATGTTAATTTTTTTATATTAATTCCTTTTGTTAAAAGAAAAGGGATGGTATAAATTTATATTGCAATTAAAGCAGAGACTTTGTTCTTGCTTGCAAGGACTGACATATAAAAAGAGAGCAGATGGAGGAATTCCCATATTTTTCTTGGCAATTTTTATTCTATTTCTACACAATGAGCTGTGACGGATGGCTATATGATGTGTACACTGTTCACATTACAGTTGGACAAACCAGTAGAGATATCGAAGATTTTGCATTAATTTCACCCAGTGAAAAGGATATTGTTGATAATCTCCATTACAAGAAATATATTGAAGATGACACGGTGGAAAACTACGATATAGAGGTAGACCATGACAACATGGAAATCACAGTGAAATATAAGATAAATGACAATAAAAATGTGGCCGAGGACAACCTTCAAACCACAGAGGGTAATGACGAATTCGAGGCAACCGAAGCCGTATGATGGTGAAAACAGATAATTATAAACAGTTGCATGCGTGAAAGTTCAGGAGGTTCTTCAGTTCATTTGTAGAATTTTAAATAACAACGACCCGATTGTCGAATCTTTTTATTACAGAGACATGTAAGAAAACGTAAAGGTGATTCTCCAAGCCCACTTGGCAAGATTACTGTTAACGTAATTGGCGTTTACAGCCCCCCATTAAGCATCAATAGTAAAGCGTCTTGTTTAATTCCTAGCCGACATACAAGCGTTTAGAATGCCACCATAGTGTTTTTTTTTTGTAGTTTATAATGAAATATCTTGGAGTGGTAATACTTTGGGTAGCATGGATTTGTAGAGCAGCAGAAAACAAGGGAGAGATAATAGTATTTGGAGATGATTTGGGAGATACCGGCAACTTGCAAAAGGCGACCAACAGCACCATCGGCTACAACGAGGGACGGCTAACAAACGGACCTACATTCGTCGAATACATGGCAACCGCCCTAGAACGCCAGCTTCAAAGCTACGCCTATGCCAACTCCACTATAGCTGAACCTTCGCTTTCGACAATCAACGGATTTATGATTCCGACGCTTGAAGAGCAAGTGATAGAGTTTACCGAGGGCAAGCGCGACTGGATTCGCCGCAAATCAGGAATCCGCAACAGCATAGCGGTAATAACAGCAGCTACCACCGACTTGGTCGAAAGCCGCCTTTGGGCACTATCGGAAGCTGACCGTCAAGCATTAGCGCAAAGGCTGGTCGACGGGGTGTTCAGCCAAGTAAGGGCACTGGATAAGCTGAGGTTCGAGGGAATTGCCGTGACAAATATCCCGGCGCTCTACATAATGCCTCGCTGGCGGCTGCTAGCATCGGTAGATGTCTTGCGCAGCTTTATAGCTCTTGCAAACCGCCTATTTCGACAAGCATTGGTTGACCACGAGGAGACGTTGAAGGACACCAAGCTGTGGCTACTCGACACCGAGTCCTTTCTGCTTGTCACGGCGAACAACACGTTTGCCAGGTCCATCGGGGCCCAAAACACCACCTGCCCATGCATAACTGAGCAAGGAAGCTGCATGGATCCTGCCGACTATATTTTCTACGATGACATGCATATGGATGTGCGGCTGAATCACTTGCTGGGCTTGGCAGCTGCAAATCTGGTCAATGGCGGTGATGTCCAGTATAATGCCACGTATTTCCACAAGCTGGCCAAGGACTATGAAATTGGCGTACTGTACCATACAACAGCTACCACCCAGGCAACCTTTACGAGCACCGATATACTGCCGAGCACGACAGCCGCTGACCCGCTGCTTACCAGCACTCAGTCCTCGGCTGCCAACTGCTCGCTGACCGCAATATGCACGGCAGTAACCGGCTCGGCAACAAGGCCGAATTCGGGATCTTTTAGGCCGGAACTGCCATATATCGGAGTTTTAAGCCTTTTGCTAGTAATTTCAATATAGCATTCTTCGGGAATGTCTCGGGAAGAGGGGGGAGAAACATCTTGGCACTGTCCCCCGCATATTTGCGTAGATTGCGGAGAAACCCGTTTGCCGAATTCCTGCAGCATGCAAAGTGCCTTTGTAAAAACAAGGGCCCAGCGCCTTGGTTTGCACTATCCACAATGCCAATCGAGATAAATGCGCAGCCATGTTTAAGAGACTTTTTAGAGATCAGTGTGCTGCGGATACAAGATGTAGAAAAAAAAGATGCGGAAGTCTTGTTCTTTTGTGGCAAAAAAGGGGCCGGGCATTTTATCGTCAGCTGGTTTACAACATGTGTAAAGGTGTGGAAACCACATGAAATGAGTAGACACGGCCAACTTGCGGAAAACACTTTTGGGTGGCTATAAAAATGACCAGTGCGCGCCACTCGGCAATTTTTTTTTGGTTTTTTTTTTCATCCTTTTTTTTCCCTTTTGGCTGCGCTTTTTTTCACTCTTATCATTACAGTATCGTTTTATTGAAAGTTTTAAGCTTGCACATTAAGCTCCTGCAAACCCTTTCTTCTTGCCCTCTCAATTAGCTTCAAGTCTTTTCTTCTCTCCCCCCAACGCAATCCCGAATTACAGAAAAAAATTTTCCCATCTTTTTTAACGCTGGACTTTTCGTGGAGCCAAATGAATTTCTCGTTCGCGTCGGCGCCGACGACGCCATTTATACCGCAAGTGGATGGGCGGGCAGCAGCGGGGGCGCAGTTTCTGTCGCCAGGCACAGCGGTAGCGCCCATGAGCGCCACGGTGGGCAGCACGAGCATGTCGCGGGCAACCGACCCGCTCCACGACATTGGCTCGCCGGCAGCTCTGCAGTACCTGTTTGCACTCACCAACAGCCCCCTGCTGAACGACGGCATGTCGTCGCCGGCAGTCAACGCAATGGCAATGGCGCCAAAGTACACACAGCCAATGGCTGGGCCCGCCAGAACCGGCTACGTCCAGGCGCCGCCGGCGCTCATCGTGACATCGTCGCCGGCAACGACAGGGGCGCTTATGGCAGCGCCCTCGACGTCGGCGCACGGGCTTGCGAGCAAGGCGGCGTCGCCGGCAATGGACAATCAGCCGCCGGGGTTCTTCCGGCCGTCGGAAGTATTCAAAACGCCCGAAATCCGCACGCTGCCGGACCCGCAAGTGGAGGAGCGGACGCCGGAGCTGCCCATGTTCGATGACGTCGAGGCGCTGGGCAGCTCGACGGCGCTGAACGCGCTGAGTCCGCGGACGCAGACGGCGCAGGCGGGGCTGTCGCTGCTGGCGGCATCGGCAACGTATGCAGGGAACTCGGGCGCGCTGACGCCCGATATGGCGATAAGCCCACAGCAGCAGCCGGCCAACTCGCTGGGCTCGCAATCGCCCTTGGCGTCCGACACACAAGCTACCGCCCCGTACGGCGCAGCATTCCTCAACGGCAACGACCCGACGCTGATGTCGCAGCCGCACAACAGCCTGGTGCAGGGCTTGTCCCCCAACATCGACGCCCGTGCCGCGCAGTCTCGGCTGCCTGCCACAAGCGGGCCGCTCCAAGCCGGGCTCCCCGCCAACCCGGCCATGCAGACCCTTACCGCAGCCACCGGCCGCCTTACCCGTAACCGCAGCCTTCTGCGGCAGTCCTCGGGCCTAACCAACGCCAGCTTCTACAATGATCTGGTTCCTCAAGCCACCGAGTCATTTTTTGCGCCATTAGACGAAGTGTGCTCGGATAGCGAGCAACCGCGGCAGCTGCAGATACCGCAAACGCACGTGCCTCCCATGGGCAACCAGTTCTCCCCAATAATGACGCAGTCCACGGCAACCACCACGCAAAGGGTCGGTTCGGCATCGCCCATGTTTGTTTCCGCCCACTCGTCTTTGTCCCCTCTCATACAGCCGGTTCCGCATACCGCTGTGCCGAGCCCCGCCGCAACCAACCATATGCCCGGCTCCATCTTCGCCCAAATGCCGCTAATCTCGCCATCCAAGGACTCTTTGGAAACGAAGCGGCGACGTACCGGCACACCCCATAAGCGCGACCAGCAACGCCGCTTCAACTGCGACCTGTGCGACCGGTCGTTTGCTCGACAATATAATCTTAAAACTCACCGACTCACCCATTTCCCCAACTCTGACGAGTCTCGACCGTACAAATGTTCCAGCTGCACCAAAGCGTTTACCCGTCGGCACGACCTGCATAGACATGAAGCCCTCCATAGTAGGAAGGGCAAGCATATTTGCGAGCGGTGCGGTGGGGCCTTTCCTCGTAAAGACTCTTTGCGTACTCATCAAAAAATGGAGTGTCCTCAGTAGTGTGCATTTATCTTGCTATACCTGTTAATTGCTAAATATATTTTTGCTTGTTTAATGCTGATAAGGCATTGCTACTTGCGTTGAAACAAGCTTTCAAAATTAAAACAATAAGTTGTCCAGATGAGGGTATGCGCAGGCAAAGCAACTTCCTGCTCAAAAGAAGCAAATACTGTACCAACATCTAACTACACCGGCTACAACTAATCGCCATGCTTGCTCTAATAAAAAAGGACCATATTTCGACTGTATCCGCAAGCAATATTGGCAATCCCAACCAAAATTGAGAAAAATAAAAAACGCGCCTCAAGTGGGGGTCGAACCCACAGCCTTTCGGTTAAAAGCCGAACGCTCTTCCATTGAGCTATTGAGGCGTTGCTTC